GTTTGGTGCCACAGGTCTTGCCATTAGGATAGGTGATGTGGGTTCATTCTGATCTTCTCAATGACGAATAGTGGACCTTCAACAAGCCCAAAGGCAAGCCCAAGCTTTGTAACTTCGTTTCGATAATTCTAGACGATGACAAAGTGGAGGTAGCGACCCTCACCGATTCTGACAATGAGGTAGACGTATTGATTACCCGAGCAAGAAAGGACTTTGCCAAGAACTATCTTCCAATAGAGGAAAGTCCGAAAAGACCACCGGTAGGACCGTCACCAACAACCCAACTGAATCTCGACCAGCCGAGTTCAAGTGGTCAACCCTTTTGGTTCGACCTACTCGCATAGCTGAAGAACATCCCAGCCAGGATCACCTTGTATGAGCTCCTACGGCTATCCAAGTCTATCCGGGAAGCTCTACGGGAGGCACTAGCTAACTCAAAGGCTTTTGCCACATACTTCTCGCCTACTTCAGAAGAAGACGCAGAGAAAGGGTGTCCACAATGCTACCAGGCATCCAGGTAGCAGATTCCCTGCATTACTTTCACTCCTAAGGATATGCTCATCAAGAGTACATCTTATGATCGACCCCTGTACTTCACGGGATACGTTGGCTCCTCTCGGGTGGACAGGATCCAAGTAGATCTAGGGTATGCACTGATCATTGTCCCCTTAAAGCTCATCAAATACTTGGGGGTGTCTCAAAAGCGGTTGTATGTAACGGCTACCACCATCTTTGGTTTTAACGCTACCAGAACTCGGCCGCTAGGGAAGATCCGCCTCAAGTGCCGGCTGGGCAACATGAAGACGGAAGTAACCTTCTACGTCATCGATGCGGAGCCTTCCTACAACATGCTATTGGGTTGGCCATGGATCCATAGTAACTGGATAGTCACATCTACATTGCATCAGTGTTTGAAGTATGTGAACGACCATGACCAAGTAAAGATGGTAATTGCTGATAAGCATCCCTTCAAGAGGGTTAAAAACTGCTTTATCGATTCTTTGCTCTACCATGACTCGAAACTGGGCGACGAGCCACCGGTCGAGGAACGTGACAGTAGCAATGAGGCTGATAGTGAGTCTGACTGCAATGAGGGTCTTGTCTTGAATGACATTGAACCTATTATAATCGGCTATGGAGGTCTTGTTGTAACCAACACTGACGAAGCGGACGGGTTTATCCTGAATGAAGATCCTGACTTTACTTACTTGCCGTCTAGTTCAGAATCTAGTGATGACGAGTTTAGCAATTTGGTTGCAGAGTTATATAATAACTCTTCTTTGAACTTGCCCGTGTACTCATCGTTCGTCACAGACAAACAAGCGACTGAATCCTCGCAAGCCGTCTTTGTCATACCCGCCCGAGATAATTATTAGAAAGATATTATCCTTAGAAGGATAGACCGGCCTATGCACACAATGTGGGTTGAGTCAAACGATGACGAGCCAGCTCCTCAATTCTCGCACTACGATCAAGTCGCGAAGCGTATGATGGAGAGCATGGGTTACGACTTCATCCGAAAAGAAGACTTGAATTACGACAAAGGGCAAAATACACTTGTCCAACCTGCTTATGTTCCCAAAGAAAAGCTTGACAATTACTTTGGCAAAACTCAAAGAGGTCTGAATTACACCTCCTCTTCATTAGAGTTATATTGTAATTTCGGTGAAGATTCTGAAGACGGTCCTTCCGGAGAATCATCGTAAACATCCTCGATTTGGGATTCAGATGTTACTATGGGAGATATGTTTAGGAACCTCACAGTCAACATGGCTACGGTCGATCCCGTCGAAATCAAAGAGGATGATCAGACCCCACTTTATGATGAAGCATGAGATCGCCACGTCAGTGCCCATTGGAGTGGTCGGTTTGAAAAATGTGACCCACCCATAGAGGATAAGATACTCCAAATAAATATGAGAGACGAGGCTAATCCTAAGCCCATATTTATCAATGACAACTTATCTTCCCAAGAGAAAGAAGACCTTATATCCCTCATCCGAGAATATATTGACGTCTTCACCTGGAATTATGAGGACATGCCTGGACTTGATCCTCAGATCGCCATGCATTGCCTCAACATCAACTCGGATGTCAAACCTATCAAACAACAGCAAAGACGGTTTCGTCCACAAATCATGGAGGTGATCGAAGCCAAAGTGAAGAAGCTGATCGAGTCAGGCTTTATCAGAGAGGAACAACATCCCAATTGGGTGGCTAATATTGTTCCAGTCCTAAAGAAGAATGAAAAGATTAGTATCTGCATCGACTTCAGAGACCTCAACACTACATGTCCAAAAGACAAATTCCTTTTACCCATCACAGATGTTATCATCGACAATACATGTGGGTTCGAAAGGATGTCTTTCATGGATAGGTTTTTAGGGTACAATCAAATCAAGATGCACCCTGAAGACGAGAAGCACACTTCATTCAGAACTCCGGTAGGGGTATACTATTACACAGTTATGCCCTTCGAACTGAACGCCGACGTAACCTATCAGCGCACCATGAGCACAATTTCTCGGGATCATCTACGAAAGACAGTCGAATGCTACGAAGATGACTTGGTTATGAAGAGTCGCAACAAATGAAAACACCCTAGAGGGGGGGTGAATAGGATTTATGCTAATCTTATTAGATATTAATGCTGATTAAAACTTACTAACAATATCTCCTAGCAAATTAGATATACTACAAGATACATATGCAAGGATATGAAACTAAGGGTGATATAAACAAACAAGATAGTGGGAATATAAACAATGAGCAATTGACAAAGGCGATATAAGATGAACACAAAAATAAGTGCGTCAATACAAACTCAAACAAGCAATATGATCACGGAGTTCGGTCCCCACGACCTACGTCTCCGCTCCTCACCTCGAGAAGATCTACACTATCACAACCGGGTTTTCTACGCTCACCCGAATAACGTTTACACCTCACACTTGGTTTTCTAGTTCACTGAAAACTTTACAATCAACACTCTTACAATCACACTCTACACCCTCTAAGTGTTGGTCTCTAGCCCGTGTCTCACCCAAGTGTTCGGATTTACAACATCTCCCTAGGCTTTACTACCGATGCCACTCCTCTTGGGACAACCACATATCTCACCACACACTCCTCTCGGTGTACAAGTATATTATAAAGTGTATCTCACAATTTAGCTTAATACAATAAATGTTTGTTCTCTACTATGGATGAGAACACAATAAAAGCTCACACTCTAAGTCACACAATCCTACAACCCAATTATACAATGTATACAAATACAATAAGGTCAATGATTGTGTGTGTAAACAAAGAGTAAATAATCAAAACTAAACTCAAATGAAATCTAGCTTATGGAAATTAAGATCAAACATATAAATTGCTAGAATGAGTTTAGAAAACTTCTCCAATGATGACGAGAGAGAGAGAGAGAGAGAGAGAGAGAGAGAGAGAGAGAGAGAGAGAGAGAGAGAGAGAGGAGAGAGAGAGAGAGAGAGAGAGAGAGAGAGAGAGAGAGATGAGTTGAAGCTCAAACACCAAAGGATGATCTCTTCTAGTTCTTGTGAAAATTTCTTCACAAACTTGAAACTCAAACTCAAACTTAAAACAAACTTAAAACTCTTTTAAACTTGATTAAACTCTTTCTTGAATGATCAATAGAACTGAGGTATGATGGAGTATATATAGGAAACCCCAAAGCCAAGAAGAAACAAAAAAAAACCCAGCAAAAAAACAAAAACAGAAAACTAGCCGTTACAGCATCAGTCGACTGACGGGTTTTATCAGTCGACTGATGAGCTGGAAAACTAGCCGTTACAGCATCAGTCGACTGACGGGTTTTATCAGTCGACTGATGAGCTGACCGTTATAGGCATTTTTCAGCTCATCAGTCGACTGACGATCTTATCAGTCGACTAATGACCTCATCAGTCGATTGGTCAGTCGACCAAAATAAAAACAAAAACTTTTAGCTATTCCAGGCATTTTCATCAGTCGACTGAACACTTGCATTAGTCGACTGATAATACATTATCAGCCTGATTTGAATAGTAAACTAATTTTCAAACTCCTTTTAAAAATAACAAATAAATTCATAAAAATATAAAACTTTGAAAAATGATTGTAAACATGATAATAAACATGTTATAGAAAGAAATTTTTAAATTGTATTCCCCATTTGTGAAAACTCACCGTTTTTCAAAATAGTCCAAAACATAAAAATACAACAACACTTGTTTTGTCATTTTGACTAAATCATATTTTGAAATATTATAAAATAATTTTATAGACTTAATAAAAGATGTATATAATGATTTTAAGTCCATAAACCAATAACTTAACATTTTCACAAAAATGCATGTTTTGCAAACTTTCAAAACACTAAAACATGATTTTATTGAACTAAATAAACTTGATATTGATAAAATCATATATAAGCATATAAACATGAAACAAGTATGAATTTTTTAATTATATTTATTTGTTTCATATATATAAACAAAACTATATAAAACCAAAACACGTGTGTGTGTGTGTGTATAAACCAAATACGTGTATGTGTGTATATGATTGAGCCTAAAGTATCAACACACATAATATAAACATATACTAAATATACCAAGCAATGATCTTGATCTTCAATAAACTCTTCTTGGTAAACTGGCGAATGAAGCTTGAACTTGAATTTTCAACTTGAATTGCAAGGCTTCATACCGATATTCCGTCAACCTCCATTGAATATGATCGTTGAAGCATAATTCCATCCAACCTCTAACTTATTGTTTATCTATAATAAATACAAAAACACAAACACTAGACAAACAACATTAGTTGTAAATTTTTTGTTATAACATCATCAAAACAAAAAGGTCAACATCAAAGACGATCATCTTCAAGACTTGAGAATGATGTTCGAGCTAATGCGATCCCATCAACTCAAGATGAACCCCACGAAGTTTTTTTTGGGGATGTCGAGCGATAAATTACTCAGATTCGTAGTAACGATGAAGGGAATTCACATAGACCCTGACAAGGTGCAAGCTATTCAAGAGCTTCAACCACTCAGGAATTTCAAGGAATTGAGAGGACTGCAAGGACGACATGCTTACATCCGAAGACTCATATTAAATCTTTTGAGTAAGTGCCAACCCTTCGCTAAGCTGATGAAGAAAGGTGTTTCCTTCGTATTGAATGAGCCTTGCCAACAAGTATTCGATGAGATCAAGACATATCTCTCGAATCCATCTGTCTTGGCGGCCCCGGTCTCGGGAAAACCCTTCCTGATTAATGTACGGACAATTGAGCATTCTCTTGGCGCCCTCTTAGCACATAATGATTATGCCGGCCATGAGAAAGGCATCTATTACCTGAGTAGAACCCTGTAGGGAGCCGAACGGTGATATCCCATAGTCGAAAAGGAGTGTTTGGCCTTGGTGTTTGCAATTCAAAAGATATGACACTACCTGGTTGGTCAAACCATATATGTCATCTCCCGGATGAATCTCATCCGAGTCTTCATGACATAGCCCCGGTCCTTAAATTGGTGTTTGGCAAGATGGGTACTCCTGCTGTCTCAATACGACATACACTTTATACCGCAAAAGTCTGTTAAAGGACAAGCAATCTGTGATCTCATAGCCAGTCATCCGCTCGAGTCGAAGACTGATCTATTCGAAGACATGCCGAACAAAACCCACAAAGTTAATGCAACCTCGTAGGAAAAAGTTTGGCGATTGTACTTCGACGGAGCTTCTCGCGTTGGCACAAGCAGGACTATCATCGCGGGGGTGGGGGTGGTCTTGGTTTCTTCGTAAAACCACATGTTACCCCGAGCTTTCTCTTTAACTGAGCCGTGTACTAATAACGTAGCTGAATATAATGCGCTACTCATCATACTCGACTTCGCCAAGGAGTTAGGGGTGAATCATCTCGAAGCTTACGGTGACTCTCAGCTCATCATCAGACAGATGACAGGGGAATACGAAGTCAGAAATGATGACTTAATCCCATGTCATAAAGGGACTATCAAACTAGCCGAATCATTCGAAAGCTTTCGCATTGAGCATGTGCTCCGTTCCAAGAACACATATGTGGATGCCCTGGCGTCATTGGCAGCTAATCTAGCTCAGCCACTAGGAACAAGTTAACGCGTCACTGTCGTAAGCTGACAACTCTTCCGACCGGAGTATGTTCTAGAAGTGAATGCAACTCACTAGGCTACGGGTCAACTCGAACCGAGAGATTGGTGTTTCACAATCATCGACTATATCTTATATAGCATACTACCCGAATACGTAAAGGAGCGAGATTCTGTTCGCAGGCGCGCTCCGATATTCTACTATGATTCGACAACAAAGGCGTTGTATAGTAAGTCGTACGATGACATGTTGCTTCAGTGTCTCTCAATGACAGAAGCACATGAAGTCCTACGGGAAGCCCATGAAGGTACCTATGGCGCTTACCAATCTGGACCTAAGCTCTGGGATCGCTTGCGAAGGATGGGCTATTATTGGCCCAGAATGATCCACGACGCTGTTGCTTATGGGGCGATTTGCGCCCAGTGACAACAGAGGGAATGGAATAAAGTGGGCTATAGTGACGCTCTGGGCCTAGTCAGCTTCAACCATCAAAGCCATTTCGACCCTGTTAGCCATAGGCGTAGAAATGTTACCATGCGTGTCAAATCCACGCTAACTACATTCACAAACCACCCGAAGACATGCATATGACAGTGACTTCATGGCCGTTTGAGACATGGGGGATGGATGTCGTTGGACCGATATCTCCACCATCAGTCAAAGGTCATCACTTCATCCTTGTGATAACCGACTATTTCTCTAAGTGGGCCGAAGCTGTTCCCTTAAGAGAAGTCAAGACCAGTGATATGATAAAGTTTATCAAACATCACATTGTCTACCGATATGATGTTCCAAGGCGTACCATTCATGACAAAGGGTCACAATTCGTTAGTCATGCATTCACTCGGTTCTATGACAAGTTCAGAATACAGATCTGGCATCCACGGCCTACAATCCATCAGCAAATGTACTAGCTGAGGCTTTCAAAAAGACATTCGTCAAGATCTTAACCAAGCTAACGTCCAACAGCAAGCGCAATTAAAATAAAAAGCTCGGTGAAAGCTTATGGGCATACTGGACCACGGTTCGCACACCGACCGGTACCACACCTTATTCACTATTCCTTACAGTAGGGGCTCTTTGACTTCCTTCTTTAAAGTTCGGCGGGAGTAGGGAAGCTTGCTCTTGTCTAATGAGTGACTGACAAGCCCTATAAAAAAGAGGCATTTTTCTTTAGTCAGAAGCCCGCTGAAAGCTTTTTTTAATAGAGGGAGACCTCATCTCTTAGATCTCTTTCTTGACTTACGGGGTGAAGGAGATAGCTAAAACAGTGACTCTGAAAGCTTTAGTAAGTTCAGGTCTTTATGAAATAAAGTTCCGGAGTTCATGAGTCAATCTCAATCAAATCAATCTAAGCTGATGGCCTCTTCAAGTATCATATAATGAAATTTCTTTTTACGTGGGGGGAGAAGTACATATGGTGCAAGTACTCCTTCTATTAGAATATCCCCCTGGAAGAGCTTAGCTATTTTACTAACTTCTTCCATTAGCGTAGAGTTTAAAACATATAAAGTCTATCCCCCAATATAGTCTCAAATTTTGACCTTTTTCATTGGAAACTTCAAAAAAAAAGGAATCGATTACCTTACTTTAAAGAGATGGATCCTCCTTTCCTAAGGACTCTTCTTAGGGAGTAGGAAGTGTCTGAAAGCCTAGTACTTTGAGCAAGGACTACAACAAGACTAAGAGCATTAGAAGCAGAGGTAGGACTAGTCTGGGTATGAATCCTTTCCGTCAGTGAGTCCTTCTGTAAGTAGAAGGCAGCCATCTAAGGGATGCAACTAGTCTGTATGCAAAGCATCCTGTAATAGTCCCCTATTTTAATAGGAACTTCCTGAAGGTGCTATCCTATAAGCAGAAGCAAATGAAGATCTAGAGCGAGTCTTCCTTGATAAGCCTAAGGAGATAGAAGGAGCAAGGCTAGAATCCCCTTTTGACTTACCTCTTTCTTAGAGTTAGGAATACTAGAAGCTAAAAGAGTAAAGCAAGGAAGCCTACTCATATTCAAAGGTTTTCGAGTAGCTTCGCTTTCTAGCTGCCTTTAGCGCTCTACTCTCCTGCTGCTTTCTTATAACTATAACTAACTATATAGTGAGTTAGTTAGAAAAGTGACACTCACTGATCTTACTGTGACGGATTCTAGGGGGAAGGAAGGACGCTTTCAAAATGGCTAAACAATCAAGGGGCGATTTGCGCCCAGTGACAACAGAGGGAATGGAATAAAGTGGGCTATAGTGACGCTCTGGGCCTAGTCAGCTTCAACCATCAAAGCCATTTCGACCCTGTTAGCCATAGGCGTAGAAATGTTACCATGCGTGTCAAATCCACGCTAACTACATTCACAAACCACCCGAAGACATGCATATGACAGTGACTTCATGGCCGTTTGAGACATGGGGGATGGATGTCGTTGGACCGATATCTCCACCATCAGTCAAAGGTCATCACTTCATCCTTGTGATAACCGACTATTTCTCTAAGTGGGCCGAAGCTGTTCCCTTAAGAGAAGTCAAGACCAGTGATATGATAAAGTTTATCAAACATCACATTGTCTACCGATATGATGTTCCAAGGCGTACCATTCATGACAAAGGGTCACAATTCGTTAGTCATGCATTCACTCGGTTCTATGACAAGTTCAGAATACAGATCTGGCATCCACGGCCTACAATCCATCAGCAAATGTACTAGCTGAGGCTTTCAAAAAGACATTCGTCAAGATCTTAACCAAGCTAACGTCCAACAGCAAGCGCAATTAAAATAAAAAGCTCGGTGAAAGCTTATGGGCATACTGGACCACGGTTCGCACACCGACCGGTACCACACCTTATTCACTAGTATACGGTTGCGAGGTCGTACTACCGCTAGAAATTCAGATTACATCCCTATGCATCGTACTCGCAATGAGGATGACGACTGAATAGATTCATCTGCAACATCTTGTAGAATTGGAAGCATTAGATGAAAAGCAGCTCGAAACTCAACAACACACTGAGTTCTATCATGCCCGAATATCCAAGGCTTTCGACAAGAAAGTCAAGCACATATCTTTCAAGGAGGGAGAGTTGGTCCTCACTGTTCGACGACCTATGATACTCAACTCCAAGAAGAAAGGAAAATTTTAATCTAAATGGGAAGGACTATTCGTGATAGAGATAGTCTGTTCGAATGGAGCTTATCGCCTCGTCAAACTAAATGGCGATAATATCATGATGCCTATTAATGGCAAATTCCTGAAGAAGTACTATCCATAGTCTTCCTTCAACTCTCACAAAACTATCAAGTTAATAGTTACCTCTGATAGTCATTTTCTTCCAAATTTTCACCGTCAATCCTCTTTAACGGGACGATGGGCCCACATAAAAGTTATCATGTTAACAGTCACCTCTGACAGCTAATTGCTTCTAAATTTTCCCTATCGATCCTCTCCAATAGGACGACGGGCCCACTCCCACTGTCATGTTAACATTGCACCTCTAACAATCAACTTGCCAATCCTCTTCAATAGGATGGTAAGTCCTCAAAGTCGCTCCAATCGCGACGATCCAATCAACTTGTCATTCCTCTTCAATAGGATGGTAAGTCCTCAAAGTCGCTCTAATCGTGATGATCCAATCAACTTGTCAATCTTTTTTAATAGGATGATAAGTTCTCAAAGTCGCTCTAATCACAACGATCGAATCAACTTGCCAATCCTCTTTAATAGGATGATAAGTCCTCAAAGTCGTTTCAATTGTGACGATCCAATCAACTTACTAATCTTCTTCAATAGGATGATAAGTCCTCAAAGTCGCTCTAATCGCGACGATCTAATCAACTTGCTAATCCTCTTCAATAGGATGGTGAGTCCTCAAAGTCGTTTCAATCGTGATGATCTAATTAACTTGCCAATCCTCTTCAATAGGATGGTGAGTCCTCAAAATTGCTCTAATCGTGATAACCCTGTCAACTTACCAATCCTCTTTAATAGGATGGTAAGTCCTCAAAATTGCTCCAATCACGATAATCATGTCATGTTAACATTAAACCTCTGACAAATCCCCCACCAATTCTCTCCAATAGGATGGTGGGTCCATAAAACTATCACGTTAACGATTATCTTTGATAGTCAACTTCATCATTCCCACAAATGATGTTGACGGATCAGTCGTCATACTCCTACATCCCTAAATGATTTAATCCATTCCGGACATTCTAATATCCTTAGAACAATCGATGATAGTAACCTACCATGCGATGTGCTACTA